ATCTGCCCGACTCAGCTTCCCAAAGTGCTGGGATTACAGGTGTGAGCCACCGCGCCTGGCCTAAAAGTTCTTCTTTAAAGTAAGAAGAAAAAAAGCCCAGTAAGCAACCCCAAAGCTGAAAAATAATAGCAGTAATTAATATTTGTATAGTGTTTCATGGTTATAAAATATGTGTGTGTGTGTGTGTGTATATATATATATATTTTTTTTTTCTTTTTTGAGACAGAGTCTTGCTCTGTCACCCAGGCAGAGTACAGTGGCACGATCTCAGCTCACTGCAACCTCTGCCTCCTGGGTTCAAGCGATTATCCTGCCTCAGCCTCCTGAGTAGCTGGGATTACAGGTGTGCACCACCACACCCAGCTAAATTTTTTATCTTTAGTAGAGACAGGGTTTCACCATGTTGGTCAGGCTGGTCTTGAACTCCTGACCTCGTGATCCACCCATCTCAGCCTCCCAAAGTGCTGGGATTACAGGTGTGAGCCACCGCGCCCAGCCAATGCATATATTAATCTTTACAACAATTCTGTGAAGCGACTATGATAATAATCCCCATATTTCAGGTGAGGGAATTGAGGCTGACAGAAATTGTGATTTAAAGTCAGTAAATAGTAGACATAGGATTTGAACTCAGTTCTTGGGGCTCCAAACCTTATAGTTTTCCATTAGTTTAAGAGAGTCCAGGGTCAGCCACTAGTATCCTAAACAACATTAAATCACTAGATGAAATACATATGTGTAGTAGCATTAGTCTTCTCATGAATTACATTATAAGCAAGAAGTATTATTTAAGAAATTGGTTATCTTAACCGAAGAATCAAGGTTACCACTACCAGTAATAAGTCAAGTTGATAACACATAGCCCTGATATGATGTAACAAGGACATATCACCTCTGCAGTGTTTTACCCCAAATGCATAAACTCAGTGTAATTCTGAGAATACATTAGGCAATCCCAGATTGAGGGAGATTTTATAAAGTTCCTAACTCTTCAAAAGTGTCCACTGAGAAACTGTCACAGATTGGAAGAGGCTACTGAGACACGACAACTAAATGTAATGTATTATTGGACCATGGAACAAGAAAAGGACATTAGTGTAAAAATCCAAATAGAGCCTCTAGAATTTAACTAGTAGTATTTAGCAGTGTTAATTTCCTAGTTTTGATAGATGTACCGTGTTAAATAAGATGGTAACATTAGAGAAAAATGGGCTAAAAGCATATAGGAACATGCTGTACTATCTTTGGAACTATTCTAAAATAATTTCAAATAAAAATTTAGTAAAATATAAATAGTATTTATTATTTATATTGGAAATAAGGATGATATAAAAGTTTCTCTTAAAAGAACATGGAGATTCTAGAAAAACTTCTGTATTTAACTTAGGCTGAGCTCCAGGAACTCCTACTGTGGGCCAACTATGAGAATAGATAAATTAAAATTACTTGTCTTTGCTCGTGCATGGACCAAATTTCTTTACATTTCTTTCTTTTGGTTTATGACACTTAACTGAAATTGTTTCTCTTAAGGATGGAATTCTGGAGAAGTAAAAAATGATTTTTTTCTCCTAATTCAGTATTTATTTTTCTTCCCTTCTCTTATCTGTAGTAGATAATTACTCTGGATGCTAGGTATCCAATTGGGAAGAGTTAGGCCATAGGGAAGAAACAGTGTCTTTGGGAACGGTATAAACTAAGCAGCATGGAAGGGAAATTGTACAGAGGCAACATGGTAACTGGAAAGAGCACTAATTTGACCTAGTCTTGAATCCTAGGTTTGTCACTTTGTAGCATGACTTTGAGCAAATTTTTAACTTGCCAGAGCAGCTTTATATTCTGTAAAGTAGTAGTTGTAAACATTAAATGAGATAAAGTTTGTAATGTATCTGTACATATAGACTCCCAATGAAAATTAATAAATTCAAAAGCATTTACTATCTGTTATGTTCACAAGACTTTGCTATGTTTGCACTATGGCGAATATAAAAACACATGGCATAAAGCAGTTTATAATCTCAAACTTTCAACCTTTAGGGGAGATTAAACATACATATATGAAAACCATTAGAGAAAAAAATTACAGAATTTACTGGAGCACTAAGTTGTGTTGTAAAGATAGTAAAAGCAGTGATTAGAAAGGAGAAAGATCCTTATTGGCTTAAATTTTAGGAAAGGGGTGGTCCTGAGAAAAGCATTTAGGAATTGGTATACAGAGTAATAACTAATATGTTTGGAGAGTTTTAAGGTTTATAAGGAATTTTCACCAGCATTTTATCACTCAACATTCAAAATCACAAGTTTTTTATTTTAGAGATAAAGAAACAGAACCAGAGAGCCTTTGTTAAAGAGCAGAGTTAGAACTCAAATCACAATTATTGACTATTAAATGTATGTTAGTTTGATACCAATATTTTATATTTTCCATGCATTTTCATAATTGCTTTCTCGTTTATCAGAGGAAATAGTCCCGTGAGAAGCTGAACTCAGAAAGATTAACTGACTCATCCAAGTTCCCTCAGCTAATTATTTGGAAAAGCAGTACTAATATATGCCTGAATGTCTAGTGTGTTCATCCCATTGTTCTATATACCACATTGTTTTAATTTCTAGATGGAGAGAAACGAAAGAAAAAGGGAGCAACATGGGATTTGAATGGGTTCCGAGGTACACACGCATCATCACAGAGAAAAACCCTCAACTTTTTAGGACTGCATTAATCCTTGGCCATATAACTAGAAACAATTCACCTGCCTTATACTGAGGGTGGCCTATATGAATGGAGCAACTGAATTGCCACATTTATATTATTGGTGCTGTGTTTTGCCTCATGATTCACATTTGTGCTGACTTTTGGAATTACTTTTTAAAAAAATATTTATTTATTTATTTACTTTGAAACAGAGTTTCACTCTGTCACCGGACTGGGGTGCAGTGGTGTGCTCTTGGTTCACACTGCAACGTCTGCCTCCCAGGTTCAGGTGATTCTCCTGCCTCAGCCTCCCAAGTAGCTGGGACTACAGGCGCACGTCACCATGCCTGACTAATTTTTGTATTATTTTTAGCAGAGATGGGATTTCACTATGTTGGCCAGGCTGGTCTCAACTCCTGACCTCAAGTGATCTGCCTGCCTTGGCCTCCCAAAGTGTTGAGATTACAGGCATGAGCCACTGCCCTGGCCATGGAATTATTTTCTTAGGGATGAAAATTAAGCAAGACATTTTGATTCATGTGACTATGGAGGGTTCTATTATTTAGCTAATTCTGGTCTAAACACAGATCAATACTTAAGAGTTGTAGGCCAGCCTATTTTCATTTAAGAAAACACACAGAACAAACTCAGATCATAATACAGTGCACTTTTTTATATTCAGTGAAACTGAACAATTAAGTCATATTTCTGATTTCACATGAATATATTCCCAGTTTATGGAGCCTAGGCCTTGCTGGGTGTGGTGGTATGGCTCACACCTGTAATCCCCACTCTCAGGAGGCTGAGGTGGGAGGATGGCTTGAGCACAGGAGTTGGAAGCCAGCCTGGGCAACATAGTGAGGCCCTGTCTCTAAAAAAGTAAATAAATAATACAAGTTTAAAAGATTCTTAAGGGAAGCCTAGGCCTTCATGCTATATGATGATTTCACTAGTTTTTATTTTAGCTCTATAGGATAAAATCACCAATCTTATTTCACATTTTCAAGCGTTTACATACTTTCCAAAGTAAGTAAATGCCCCATGACAATCCAAAAGCTGATATTTTCCCAAGTCAAGGACGAACAACTTCCACTGTCACACTCACTCTAACCTGGATGACAATTACAAACTGTCACACTTCATTGAACATAGTCTTTGGCTGTTTTAGTTACAGAGGCTGTCAATTTCTGACCGTGGGTTGAAACTTCAAATAATTGGTGAATATTCCAAATTAGTTTCTTATAAAAATAAGTAGGCTGGGCGATGTGGCTCACGCCTGTAATCCCAGCACTTTGGGAGGTCGAGGAGGATCACGAGGACAGGAGTTCGAGACCTGCCTGGCCAACATAGTGAAAAATACATAATTGCTCTAAAATACGTCTCTACTAAAAATACGAAAAAAAAAAAAAACTTAGCCGGGCGTGGTGGCGGGCGCCTGTAATCCCAGCTACTCCGGAGGCTGAGGCAGGAGAATCGCTTGAACCCAGAAGGCGGAGGTTGCAGTGAGCCAGAATCGCGCCACTGCACTCCAGCCCGGGTGACAGTGCGAGACTCCGCCTCTAACTAACTAACTAACTAACTATGTTCAAAGCTGGATTCAAGTTTTACCCCATTTGTAAGATGTCTCAGCTTTAAAAAAAAACAAATATAACTGCAGCAATAGAAAGGTTTTCCCTTTTTTCCCCCTTTGGAGCAACCCTATTAACTGAGGGTTGTTATTTCTCATAACTACCTTATCAATTAAAAAAAATGCTCCTCCTCTTCTCTGGGACGAGATTTTTACCTTTCTCAGCTTCCTCGTCTCTCCCATGTCTACCATGGCAGTCTGGTTACTTCTGGGTTATGGAGTCTGAGGATGCAGACGTCAGGGAGCTTGGGACTGGGTGTGGCAGTGTGGATTCGGTTTTGACAGGTTGAGCGTGAGAGACTATATGAAGTTGTATTTTGGTGAAACATCGTAGAGAAAACGTATATTTCCGAAATACTGTTTGTTAGACGAGTTGTAAGCGTGTGTTCAGTTGGTTTGTGGGGCTGGTGTGTATTTATGAGACTAACCACGTGAGGTGCACAATCTGGTCCCCGCCTCAGCTAGGGGGAGGCGCTATCCCGAGGCCTTTGCTAAATCCAAACTGGAATAACCTGTTGCCAGACTTGAAGCTTCCGCAGCCGCAGGTTGCAGTCTCTGCAGCCAGCGCAGAGATCCTGGCCCGGTAGTCGCGCGCCCAGCGCTTGACAGGAGGGTGGTCACGTGGAAGCCGCAAAGCGGCGCTTTGCGACCTCGATGACAGGCAAAATGTGCGACAGCCGTGGCGCTGGCCAACCAGGGGCGGAGGCGGCGGCCAGGGAGGAAGCGGAGGAGGCGGAGGCGGCCGCGGCGTTCGCCCGCCCGCTCGCTCGCTCGGTTTCCCCGCCCCCGCCGGGCTTAACGCCGCTGAAGGTAGCCGGCTGCGCGCTGTCGCAACCTGCCCTCATCCTGGCCCGCGACTGTAAGACCGGACCCACATCCAGACCAGTCTCCCTGTCCCGGCTGCTGCGACGCGGGCTCCGCAGATTGCAGGCGGGCGGCCGGGGCGCCTGAAGGTTACCGAGTGCATGAGCGCCTAGCGCCTCCCGCGCTGCCCCGCCCGCTGGCCCGCCGGCCAGCCCGCCGGCTCGCCCGCCAGCCCGCCCGCCAGCCCCTCGGCGCCCGGCGGCGGCGGCGGCGGCGGCGACGGTCGCAGGAGGTACCGTCTCCCTCCCAGGTGCGCGCTTCGCTCCCGGAGCCGTGGAACTCGGCGGCCGCCATGGCGTCCAACATGGACCGGGAGATGATCCTGGCGGATTTTCAGGTGAAGTATCTGGCCCTTTTCCCCTCCCACTTCCAACCTCGTGGGTTTCCGGTGCCACAAGGGAGTCTTCTTCCCAGCGTTTGAACGCTGCAGTGGTGTGTGGTTTAGGCTTTTATACGATGCGTGGCGTGTGTGTGTGTGTGGCGAGCTATGGAAAAACGTATAATTTATATGCTATCCTGAGTGTGTAGAATGTGTTAAGTACGGGGTGAAATGGGGTTGGAGGTATTAATGACTTTTGGGTTACTATGTGTGTGGAATGTATGGTGTTTCCTGTATGGTGTAGGGGAACGTGTAGAATTTTTGTTTTAATTGGTGTGGGACCTTTAAGCATGGGATGTTTTGGGTTCTATGGGGAGAGATGTATGGAGTGTGAGCGTGGAGCGTGTGGTGTTATGGGCGTGGTGTATTTATATTGTATTAAGGGAAGAGTAAAAAAGCAGAATGATGAGATGGCGAGGGTAATAGCAATGGGGTACTGAGGTCCTTTTCAAAGAGGAGTAAACATTTGAGACTTTGCCTAATGGAATCTTTGGAGGGTAAGAAGATAACGAGGAGACAGATAAGACTGTATATTCCAGAGTGTCTCTGCAATGAATTCACAAGCTTAATAAATTACCTCTTCATATTTGCGGATTCCCCTCCTCTACAGACTTGAATTGCTTGGTTGGTGTCCTTTCTCCAGGAATACTTTAAAGGATAAGTAAAGGCTGTTCTCTTAATAAACCCAGCTGTAGTGCCACTGACATGTAAGTATCTTAGGGAGGCCCTTTGAAAGTAGAACTGAATGCATTGTGAAAGACTTGGAGCTAGAACTAATGTCCTGTGAGCGCTACCTTTGCCTTTTGATGTTTGGTGAAGAAATTATTTTAGTGAGATATTTTTAGCCATTTTGGCATCAACTTAGAAGCTACTGTCAAGTATAGGCAGACTTTTCCCTCTTTAACACTCATCATTGCACAGAGTCTAACACTAGCATAGTAGGCAGTATTTTTCCTTACTGAAATTTTGTTGGGCTGTTCTCTCTCTCTGTTGTATTAAGTTCCTTATTTTTTTAAAATTAATTAATTTTTTTTTGAGACGGAGTCTTGCTCTGTCGCCCAGGCTGGAGTGCAGTGGCGTGATCTCTGCTCACTGCAAGCTCCGTCTCCCGGGTTCACACCATTCTCCTGCCTCAGCCTCATGAGTAGCTGGGACTACAGGCGTCTGCCACCACACCCGGCTAATTTTTTGTAATTTTAGTAGAGACAGGGTTTCACCCTGTTAGCCAGGATGGTCTCGATCTCCTGACCCGTGATCTGCCCGCCTCAGCCTCCCAAACTGCTGGGATTACAGGCGTGAGCCACTGCGCCCGGCCCTTGTTTTTACAAATTAACGTTCAGATAACCATTTTCAGAGTTTGCTGTTTTGGTTACCCAGTGGAATCTGATATACAGGTATTAGGAATATGCATATATCTACACTTTGATTAAACCATAACCTCTAAACTAATAAAGGAGGGTCCTTAAAAGTTGACCATAAGATTTTGATGTTTTGTAGGTTTAGGATTAGCCTCAGGCTTTTTGCCTGCCTAAATTTAAAAAAATTTTTCAATTAATTAGATTTTTTAGAGATGGGCCTCGCCATGTTGCCCAGGCTGGTCTTGAACTCCTGGGCTCAAGTGACCTACCCGCCTCAGTCTCTGAAAGTGCTGGGATTACAGGTGTAAGCTGCCACACCCAGCCCTGCCTAAGTTTTTTTCATCACTGTCTTTTTGTTTTGTTTTTGTTCTCCAGTTCTATCTTTTATCTAATGTGGAATGCACTGTTTGAAAAAGGACTCTATATTTCTAGGTGTAGTTTTACCGTGTTACAAAATTGTCTTCTGATTTCCCTTTATAAGGTAATTATAACTTTGTTTTGATTTTGCCTTTTTATCTCTAATAACTTGCATCTGCTTTCTATTTTTTGTGTGTGACAATTATTATGCTTAACTGTTAACCTTATATTGGCTAAAGGACAGGAAATTTAGGCTTCTTGTACTCAGGCAAAGCAAGATTTTCCAGGGATTTTGGTTTGGAAATGAAAATGATAATTTCGATCACATTAATAAGATGGGGATAAGTTTTTCTCTTCAGACCAATGGTAATGCTATACACAATTGTTTAAAAATGGGGAAAATGGAATAGCATCTGCAGTGAACAATTGTTTGCCTAATAATTTTATGTTGTCAAATAGGTAAAACAATGTTAATTGATAGAAGAAAAAATTATTTGGAAAACTACACACATTAAACACATTAGCCATTTGTGTGTTTAGGAACCTGGAGTCCTCTTACAAATGATGGTCTTAGTAAAAAATGATTTTTTTTCCTGTTTTTCATATTATTTAAATTTTTATAGGATTAACTTAAAAGTAAACATTTATTCAGTTATAAGAAAACCAGGTAATGTATTTATTTACTTACTTATTTTTTCTGAGACGGAGTTTCACTCTTGTTGCCCAGGCTGGAGTGCAATGGTGCGATGTCGGCTCACTGCAACCTTCGCCTCCCAGGTTCAAGTGATTCTCCTGCCTCAGCCTCCTAAGTAGCTGGGATGACGGGCATGCACCACCATGCTCAACTAATTTTGTATTTTTAGTAGAGACGGGGTTTCTCCATGTTGGTCAGGGTGGTCTCAAACTCCTGACCTCCTCACCTGCCTAGGCCTCCCAAAGTGCTGGGATTACAGGCATGAGCCACCACACCTGGCCTCAAGTAATTCATTTTAAGGATTGCAGCTTAAGACTTGGCATATGGATACTTGGATGACACTGGTTTCTTCTGTAACTGGGCAAATCAATTTCCTTACCAAAAGTGAATATGGTAAAATTACATGTTTATATCATATGATTGTGAGACTCAGTAATAGTTTGAGAGCTCAGTATTGTCTTTGTAGAAAAGACATAATTTCTAAATTATGATTAGAATTTTCATAATTTCATAATTTTGATTAGAATTCGAAAATGAATCACATTTTGATCATTGCTAAATACTGTGTCTAAATGTGGAAAAACCTTTGAAAAGGATTTTTGTATTTTTTTCTTTGACTATTTCAAGTCAATAGAGAAAAGAATTCTGTTGAAATCAGTGAAGTGGTGATAAGTAGTGGGTGGAATATTACAGCTCAGACTTAATGGGATAGATTTGGAATATTATAGATGGGTGAATTTATTACAAAGCAAATATTACTCCAAATTGTCCTCTAAGAAAATCCTCCCCCAATCTGTTAATGAAAAAAAAAATAATTGTGGTACAATCTTTATAAAATTTACCATTTTAGCCATTTTAAAGTCTACAGTTCACTGGCATTAAGTACATTCATTTTGCTTTGCTACTATCACCACCATCCATCTCCAGAAAGCTTTTCATCTTGCAAATCTGTTACCATACTTATTTAACAATAAGTCCTTGTATCCCTCTCTCCTCAGCCCCTGGCAACCACCATCCTACTTTCTATCTCTGAATTCGACTATTCTATTAATAGGTACCTCATATAAGTGGAACATACAGTATTTGCCCTTTTTCGTGACTGGCTTATTTCACTTAGCATAATGTGCCCAAGATTCATACATGTTAGCATGCGTCAGGATTTTATTTCTTTTAAAGGCTAAATAATGTTCCATTGTGTGTATATACCATATTTTGCTTATTCTTTCACCTTCCATGGACATTTAGGTTGTTTCTACCTTGTAGTTTTGTGAATCATACTGCTATAAACATTGGTATACAGATTGATGTTCCAGCTTCTGCTTTCAATTCTTTTGCATATATACCCAGAAGTTAAATTGCTGGATCACATAGTCATTCTATTTTTAATTTTTTGAGGAACTGTCATAATGTTTTCTATAGTGGCTTCACCACCAAAATTTTGAATGGAGAGAATGTCAGCATCCTATTTAATAAGTTATTTTAAAAATAAGATTTAGAGCTGGGCACGGTGGCTCACGCCTGTAATCCCAGCACTTTGGGAGGCCGAGGTGGGCGGATCATGAGGTCAGGAGATCGAGACCATCCTGGCTAACGTGATGAAATTCTGTCTCTACAAAAATACAAAAAATTAGCTGGGCATGGTGGCAGGGAATGGTGTGAACCTGGGAGGCGGAGCTTGCAGTGACCCTAGACCATACCACTGCACTCCAGCCTGGGCGACAAAGCAAGACTCCATATCAAAAAAAAAAAAAAAAATCAGATCTGAGCAAATGAATTTAGAATTTGGAATATTCGACCAAAAATCAGTTTTACATGTACATAGTGTTAACATTGTATGTTACTGATAAAGGAATGACTAGAGTAGTACACCCACAGTTCTTGCTGGCTAGAGCCAGAAGGGGGTGTAAAGGAATTTCCTGGGTTTAAAAAAGCAGGCAGCGTTGATGAATCATGACTTTTCCCCCTTACCCCCCTTACTTGTTTTGTAACAAAGAGATGCATTCAGGTGACAGTTTCAAGTCTTTTAGTAACTATAGAATAACGGTTCTTTTTGTAATTGTAGAATTCTTTAACTTTTTTTTAGGTTGAAGTAGAGAACATGGATCATTTGGTCTCAAACAAACTTTTGAGACCCTATTTGGTTTGCTTACATATGTGAAAATAGTTATGCTATCAAATAATTTCAATAATATCAGTTACTTCTTTTGGTCTAGAGTCTTCTCCTCCTTAATCTCTTTTTTTTGGTGAGACAGGGTCTCACTCTGTCACCCAGGCTGGAGTGCAATGGAGTGATCACTGCGGGTTTGAACTTCTGGGCTCAAGTGATCCTCTCACCTCATCTTCCTGAGTAGGTGGGACTACAGATGTGTGCCACCAAGCCTGGCTAATTAAAAACAAATGTTTAAGCCAGGCATGGTGGCTCACACCTGTAATTTCAGCACCTTGGGAGGCTGAGGCACGCGGATCACTTGAAGTCAGGAGTTCAAGACCAGCCTGACCAAGATGGTGAAAACTCGTCTGTTCTAAAAACACATACAAAAATTAGCTGG